TGGAATTAAACGACTAAGACGCACACTGCTAGTAAACTACTAGTACTGCAGCTAGTTAACTACGATAGCAATAATGTAAACTTCAACAAAGTAGGGTTTAACCTTACTCTTGTTTGGGTTGCATATTTGTATCTAGGCCACTGGCGCTCATAGGGTCATATGTCGCCCGTCAGGGTAACTCGCGGAACGTACACACTGGTAGCGGTCGCGGTATATACCGGAACGTACCCATGGTCACATTATTATGATATGGTCTAGAGTTAGGTTAGGGAAGTTAGGCGTAGTATGCGACTCTCTAAGACTCGTCTAGTGGAGTAGCGCGTGGTAGCGTCCGGGCATATTAATATGAAGTACCGAGGGTACGTTCGCAGCAGTACCGCGGGACATAGACCCTCTGCAGGCGCTATTGTGTCCTAGGGTGGCATGCATGCGAGCAAGACACAGCCCGCACTGTAACAGCTCACACGCGGCCGATTGACTATAATCAATATAATAGGTTAGGGTTATGGTTAGGGTAACTTATGGTTAGGGTAAGGGTAAGGGTTAGGATTCGGGTTAGGGTTAGGGTTGGGGTTAGGCACATTGGTTTTATTGGGACCCATGTTCTCTATCCTTGGGCCCGTATTACTATTAGTTAGTCGGTAATCATACCACCGAGTACTAGGCCTACTCGTAGACACTTTATTTTGGCATACCTGATTCTGCAACTTTAGGCATCTTCAACGATTGCCCCCAAGTTATCGCGACGCTAATTTAAAGAACTTGAATGAATACCGAACGTTGATTTCAATGACAATTTACTTCAACCCGTACCGTAGTGTTGATCTATCGTTATCAAAAGTTTACACTCTTTCCCACAGTCACAGACCCTTGGATTTTGAAGAATAATATATACGATTTGCGTTATCACGGCACGTAACCACTTATCTTTACCCTCAGCGGACGTACACTAATAATGACTAATCAACGTCTGGAGACAGAAAATATACACGAAATGTATTATACTCTCTTGACAAATCCAAGACCCTGTCGCCATCTAGCGTGAAAAGCGTAAATAAGTCGCTACATGTACGGGCTGCTCGAGGTTATCAGTCCACGTTCTTTTTGCACACAGATGGGGCACATAGAAACGCATGCACAGATGGGGCACATAGATCATAGATGGATATGCTATAGACAGAAAAGCGTGCACGCAAGACGCGGCTAACCAAAGTGAGATATGTTGGAAATTACGAAGCATCGATTATATAGAACAGATATCACTTAGATAAACCTTTTGTCTCTACCAAGGATCTACATATAACCAGGAGCTAATAATGACATATTGACATATTGACAAATTGTCAAATGACAAATGACAATTTGTCATTATTAGCTTCTGATATAACATATGTATAATGTATATGTATATGTAGCTCCTTGCATGGTCTCTACAAGACGTCAATACGTTTTGCGCCCCCGGGGGGGGGGGGGCACTCCCATTAAATTACTATTCTCCATTACCCATTACAGTACTGGGGACGTGCCGCTGGACAGGGCATATTTTCCGAACATCATTATTGGCACAGGGTTATTTAGATACCCACCCATCAAGCTGATATTGCCCCAATATCGGTCCAATATTGGCAAAACAATATTTGGCCAATATCACCAGACCGATATTGGACCAATATCTGCCTATGTTGCATGACAGGAGGACAGGACATCAGACGCGTAGCTAGGATTTTATTTTAGGGGGGGGGGCGGCAATGAGAACGTGAAGTGTGCGAATCAGGGGCGTAAATCCGTACCGAAGAGTGGGGAGGAAGATCGGCGATAGCCATCACATACTAGCACAAGCACAAGCCCACAACATACATACACACAC